CAATGAACAGATAACACATCTCTCAAAATTTCAAATCGTTTCGAGTAGCGAGCTATTTTTAAAAATTCGAACACCGAAACAGCAATTCACAAGCTCGACAACTTGGCAATTAAATCACAACATAAAATTTCTCGTCCGAGGCCTTCCCATAAGGCCAAGGACTCGACTTTGTTCCAATATCCACCGACTTACACGAGTTTCGAGGTCTCGTTCGATTTTTGAGAAAACCGAAGAGGTCCCGAACATACGAACACATAAAATCACATAAAATCATAACAATATATATATTTGCGCTTATCACATCAATAAATTCACATCATACATAACAGGAACACTTCACGAACATGAACGATTCAACGAAACATATACGAATTAAACGAGATGGAAAAACGACGAGGTACCGTTCGCGGAAATAACTCGAAAAACGAAACGAACACGAACGGGCTCGACGGTAAACTCGTCTCGCCTGAAAAAGAGAAGGGCTCGACGCACGGGAGGAGCTTGCTGCTGGTCACCGGTCGTCGGGGAGGTCACCGGAATTGCAGGTTCACGGCGAGGGACGTCGGGGCTACTCGAACTCGCCGGAAAGACGCGCACGGGGATGGTGGCGTGAGGAGAACGGTTCGCCGGAACTTGTGGAGAGAAGAGCTCTCGCCGGAAACGCAGCAGGGTCGCCGGAAGAGATAGTCACGCCGGCGATGATGGTGGTGGCACGAGGATGAAGATGAGGATGATGGCGAGAGGAGAAAATCACAGCGAAGGTGGACGATGAAGGATCGCGAGATGATGGGTGATGAGGATGAATCGTGAGGGAGATGATGACAAGATGAGATTGATCACAAAGAAAAAGAACAAAGCTGCGGGTCTTCTTCGAGAAAAAAAAACGTGATGGTGATGTGATGATATATTTATATATGTATATGTATCATATGTGTAATAGTATTAGGATTAGGAAAGAGTTGTTGTCCAAGACAAACACAAACTCCCACACAAACACAAATTCTCACACGTTAGAAACAAAAGAGAAGGGAAAATCTGTCGGGCCGGGCCCGAGAAATTGGGTCATACAGATTTTGGGCCAGTTGGGACATTTAAATCGGCTCACGGGCTCAATTAAATATTTAAACGAATATTTTCGGGCCCAATTTCGGTTCCAACGAAAATCCTCGGGCTCGATTTCGAATGTAAACGCGCGATAAAAATAAACCGAACAGTATATATATATTTTACATATTTTTAAATACACATTATTCATATTAATAAATCACAAAACCAATTAAACAATTAGACAAATAGATAAATATATTGGCATTCAATAAAATAAAATATAAATATCACTACCAATTAATAATAACAATAATAATAGCAATAAAAATAATAAAAATAAATCCCAAATAATCCACAAATAAACGGGGCATTACAGTGCCGATGAGAATCAGATTTGCAAATCGATCGATTTGGGTTTGGCTTGCTTTTAAAAATTGGATAACTTTGGGGATTGAATTATAATTTTAGAAACTTATAAGTTATTGCAATTTAATCCTTGAGGGTTAATCTATAATTTATTTATAGTTTGAATAACTTCAATATGACCCTTGAGTTTTTATATTACATAATTAATGCACATTTATTATATTTAAATTAAATATATACATGACGCATATTTAATAAATTCATGATGCATATTTAGTTCATATG